GGGTCAGAGGTCCAGCTGGAGAGGCCCAGAGTCACTGGAGTGGGTGGGCCTGAGGCCGAGGATGTGGCCGCAGCACCACAGCGGGGGCGGGAAAGAGACCATCCGGGAGGGGAACAGACTTCAGCCTCCTAAGACCTTCCAGAAACCGAGCCACTGGGCCTCACGAGGTTGCTTTTGAACCTGGTAATGTTGAACACGAGTTTTAAGCATTGCGCAAATGCTTCTATTCGTTTCTTGAGACAGAGAAAATCAGTTACTATCTTTTTGTGAAATCGGTAACGCTGCAGAAACTACAGCTGGATCTTTCAGGCGCGGTGGCTTGCCAGGTGTCCCGGGCAGCACGGCACGGTCCGTGGACACGCGCCTTGAGCGCCTGCGCGTCTCCATCTCGAGGTCTGGGGTGGAGCCCAGGGAGCTGTGACAGGTGCCGTGGGTCACGGGCCACGCTGCGGCGGGGAGCTTCATGTAACTGCGGGTGGCTCGCTGTCCTGGAGGCTCTGGGAGGCCCCAGGTGACCTCCCCGAACAACTCGGGGGGGTTGGGGCGCACACCTCGAAATCCTCATATGACTTTGGACTCCCCGAATCTTAACTACTAGGAGGCTGCCATTGACCCGAATTCTTGCTGGAAAAGTAGTCTATCTACGTGTATTTTGTACTCCACACGTATCACATATCGTATTCTCACAACGAACAAGCTAGAGAAAAGACGACAGTGTTGGGAACGTCACCAGGAGGAGAAAATACCTTTGTGGCCGGACCGTGTTTATCAGAGAAGTCGCACAAAGTGGGTCTGCAGCCCACGGGTCAGCCGGGCCTGGAGGCGTCGTTACATCCGTGTCTCTCGCGGTTTTGGCCCAGATTGCAAGTCTTTGGTGAGCGTTCATCACAATCACTGAGAGAAGGGTGTGCTTTGGTACTTCCTTCACCTTCCTGTGATTTTGTCACACTTCACCTGTCTTTAACGGCGCCCGTTTAGCCTGGAATCTTCCGTCAAGAGTATTGGCATCAGCTCGCAACCTTTGTTCAGAAGTTGTTTGAAAAAAGTATCCTATGGTTTTATATTTTTATCATTTAATGACTGCACGGATCAGGCCGGGTGCCTTTACCTGAGAACAGACGGGAAGGAAGGAGCCCCCTCCTCTCCCGGTGCCAGAAGGTCCCTGCAGGCCCTGTGCCCCCCGGTCGGCAGCGGGCACCAGGCTGACAGGCACTCGCCTTCCAGGTCTCACTGATCTGCTCCAAACAGCAGCAGCCTGATCAATTCCTAAGGCCTCCAGAGCGCTGACCTGATCGTCAGCAGGGGCCGGCGGAGGAGCATACAGGTGTCGGGGGGTCCAGTGAGAGGTCCGTACAGGGCACCCAGCACAGAGCCCCGCTCACGTTGCTCAGTGGGAGTTAGACGCTGAGGTCACAGTAAAGCCCCCCCATGACGCCCCTGCGGAGAATGGAACCCACGTCGAACGGGGAGGGGGCATGTCCCCCCTCCTCCTGGAGGCCAGTGTCATTCTAGCACCCAAAACAGGCAAAGCATCTCTCCCACCAGATCTCATAGATACAGAACATTCCAGATTGAATCCAGAATTACATAAAAAGAACGGTACGTCATTACGCTGAGAAGGCAGGGCTGGTTCAGTATTGAGTCGGTCAACGTACTCTGTATTTCTGTACTGTTTTCAGTAGGAAAAACCAGTGAGCCTCGGGCCCCTGCCTCCCACCACAGCGCAGAGGTCGGTGTCTCACAGGCCAAAGGCAGAGGCCGCCCACTTACCAGAAGACATTTTGCACATCACTTTCTGCTGGAGTTTCAGGCTTAAATGCACAGCCCCGTTAGAACCCCGCTGCTGACTGGGTAGCGTCGTCGGCCGGAGCTTGGGAAGAGAGCGCCCCTGGGCACGCAGGTCGGCGATCGGGAGGATGCCGCAGAGCGGGGAGGGGCTCGCTGTGCCTCTCCGCCAGGGAGGAGAGATCTTTCACATAAAGTGTGTGGCAGGTTTGTTCAGCCAGACCACAAGCTTGCAGACTGGCGCTGTTTCTCCGTGGTGAAAGCCACGCCCGGCCTCCGGTGCCGGGCACCACGGGCGATGCCGGTGAGCAGGGGCATCCCGCCAGGTGACAGATGGCTTGTCACCGAGGCCGCTGTGACTGGGGAGCAGGGCTGCCTGCAGTCCCGGGTCGAGGAGATTGGGGGGTCGGGGCGTGTGCACCATCGATGAGCCACGTCTGCGCGGGAGGGATGTGCTGAACAGAGGCAGCTAACTGGCCATGAATGGGCAGAGGGCAGGGTGGGAATGCAGGGGCCAGGCCCCGCCCACTTACCTCGCATTGGCCTTGGGTGAGTCACGCCT